GGTTATTTCATTCCTGAAATAACGGTAATAGTTAGTTGCTTTAGTGATTCTGTTATCTTCTATATGCATTTTGGATTTAGAGGGTCATTCTTGATTTTATCTACACTGATAGTTGATTTCCACATATTTTAAATGTTAATTTGTTGTTTTTATGATTTTTGATTTATTCTTTTTTATGTTGTCATCATATAATACTTTGTATCTTGCATTTTTCCATTAAGCTAGCTGGAAAACATATACATATTTAGTGTCCTCCATAGCCGCAATATGCATATGATGTTCTATTTCAACAAATTTATTGTCAAATGCATTTTGTTTTTGCAGAAGCAACTGCTAAATCTATGGAAGAAGTCTCCGAAGAACATTGTACTGTAAGAAAATTAAACAACTCGATTTTTTAGATATTAATTGAGATATTTTTTTGTACTAACCCACGTTTTTTGTTGCAATATTTTCATTAGCATTTTATGATTAAATTTAAGCTTGTTTCCAATTAGTTTTGATCTATATCTCTTCTGTCAAGAGTTGTTGTAAAGAATGTTAAATTCTCTTGTCATTAAATAAGTAGCTTTGACGTCATGATTATGACCACTTGCTTTGATTTTTTTCAGTTTGCCTTTAAGGTTCTTTTTGAGTAATAGCAATTGCTTTACCAAGCTTTAGTTATGATGTGCTGTATTAGGTTAAAAAATTTTCCTCCGACTTTCCACCGACATATTCAATGTGCAAAACTAACATCTTTGTGTTTCTTTAATACTAAATTTTCCATGTACTTTGAGATGTGTTCGATGTGGCCTTGTTTTTGTTGTTTCTTCAAGTCACTTGTCTTTATTGGATATAACCATACATGCGTGTGCAGTGATCGTTGATCTCCTTGTGGGCTATATGCTACTAAGTGTGGTGTCACCAGGGTTTTGAATTTTATTGCATGAGGGCATGCCAGTGACGTGTGTACCAACCATAATAAATTGGCACTGGTTGGCACATGTTGGCATGCCCTTGGCACAGGTCAGCACAGTACGGAACAGCACCACTTGCAGCTGAACTTCATGATTTTGATGAAGTGGATAGGATATTTTTTAATACAACTTTTTAGTGATTGGTGTAATTGTTGAATTTTGCATCTTTGAGTTCATTTCAGTTGTTATGTGCTTATGCTTCATATGATAAATTTTAGTTGCTACTTGCTGTTCAGAATGCATGGTTACTAAGTAGCTTTTTTTTGTTAAATTGACATCGATTTGTGAAATTGAGCTTCTGGATCTTTCTGCATAACATATTATCTTTTGTTGTATTTTCTTCAATAACCTGTTATGTTCTATGACTTTACAAAGTTTTATTTACAGAAATCATTGCAAGAAGTGCAAGAACAACATCTTAATGTTGGAAATAATATAAATAGTTGTCCTAATGCTGGTGGCGCTCAACATGGAACCAATTCTTGTGTTGATGGAGTTCTTGATCTTGAGCAACTACTGAAGCAGAAAACTTTTACGAGGAAAGTATCTGCAATTTGGAACTGTCATTAAACACAGTTTGTTCATATTTTGGTGGAAGTAATTACTTTCAAAGTTCATTCATGTTGTTGCTAGATGCTGTGTGAATTATAAGGAATGATATCTCTCATGATACAACCACCACCATGTATCAATATCACTCTCATTTGACAAATGCATTTAATGATCTATTTAGTGATACAACATTTGTTGTTATCCTAATTTTATATTCACAAGTATGAAAGCATAACCAACCTAATTATCATAACTATTTTCTTCATATTGTACTCTATGAACTTCTCCTGTCTGTTGTTTTCTCCTGTTATTCTTACAAAAATTAGTCACTAATATGACAGGATTGAGTTTGATCGCATGACTCAATTGTTACGTTCGAGAACTGTAGAGCCAAGTACACCAGAAGTGGCTGTCAATTCTGGGAATAAAGAAATGGCAAATGTTCTATATCAAGCAAATAACAAGCAGCAGTGTGCTATTGAACCAACTCGTATACAACCGGCATCAAGTTATTATAAAAACGATAAGGAAGTTGTTTCAGAACAAGAAAAAAGGGGCATCATTGGGTTAAATGGAAATGATGCAACTCCAGTCAATTTGATTGTAAGATATTTGTTATTTGCTTCTCTTTCTAGGCACATGTCATAATCAATGCAAAGGATCATTTGAAATGCTGAAGCTGAAGCTTGTTTAGATTATTTCATCTGCTGCTGCAAACAACTTGCACTTTGTTGTGAATTCATGCTGCCTAGTTATTTTGTTTTGAAAATGCCATCCAGTTAAATTGAATCCTTCTGTAGTAGTCACAGATATGATGGACATACGGGAATGCTGCAGAAAATACGGATATGATCAAGAATATCAAGTCGCTCGCTTATTTTGCAGTCTGCTGGACACTTTTTTTTTGCCATAGTCTTATTTCCTTCTCAATTCTTACTTGCATGATTTGTGATTTTCTTTCTGAAAATTTCAAATTTAAAAGTTTATTGATTCTTCCTAAAGATGTAATTAATTGTGCATGTGCTTTTACTTGTTAACTAGTCTTGTATGGTTCACAACAAGCTTTTCTAGTCCAGTACTGCATTGGAGAACAATGTTAGATTGTTTCATGCTCTATAAATGCAAACCGTAGCTTTAAAAAGGGCTTCTTAACTTTAACTGAACATAAGTCAAAATAAATCATTTGGTAGGTTAATTTTTCCCATTTCAAATTGATATTCAGTTCAAGTGAACCATGTATGAATAACTAATTTTAGCTGTTAATCTGAAGCTGTAGTTATCTTGCATTACAGGTTCCCAAGGAAGAAGCTGCCTTACCAACAGAAATTGCTAAGGCATATATGAGTTCAAGGCCTTTTAAAGTATCTCCTGCAAATCTAAGTGGGCAAAATAAATTATTTCGTGAAGATAAAGCTTTGCCAAGTGGTACACCATATGGAAATAAAATTTCTGATCGTCCAATGGCATTGAGATCTGCAGTCTGCATTTCTGGACCTCCTGAAACTAAACCGAGCAGCTATATAAGTCCAAAACTGAATGGCAGATCAGCAATTTATAAGATGTCTCGTTCTCCATACTTCAAGCCCCATTTGATGGTAGGCATAGATGCCACTTTATTCATATTTCTTATTTGTGTCACTGAGAAATATTGTGTCCCATTTCATAGAATCTTATTTGCTGTTGCTTTAGGGTGACAAGTTGTTGATGGATGGCTATGGTGGCCCCTCTTCATCAAGTCAATCAATGTCCACAAATATTATACATCCTGGTGGCAGACAGGTATCAGTCTTTTGCAGATATTGCTTGCATTTTGATGGCTTGTAGTAGCTAGCAAGGTTTTGGAATGCAGACCTGATGCTAATATATGTGCCCTATCAAATGGGTACATTACAGTCAGTACACCAAAAACAATAATTGTTTGATAGTAGTACTTGGTCAGTTTGCTGTGGTAGTGGTATACTGCTATCCAATCGGATTGGTACTTCTTGGCAGTACAATCGGTATACCATGAAGCTTCAAACATGATTTTTGGTTTGATTAGTGATTTTTTCACGGTAGAGATCAATAGCAAGATAAATCCATGTCACCATCAGCCCAATAGTTGGTCCTTTACAGCTTGCTATTTGATCTTACAACAACTACACTTTCAAATCCTCTTCTGTAACCAAAACAAGAACACTTTACTCTTTTCATTTTGTTGTTTGGGTGAATTACTATTGTATTTTAGGTAAAAAATGTCATGTTATAAAGCAGTAGGTTCTACATGCAGACACTGAATTTTGTTAATATTGTAATGATTAACTGTTACCATTGATATGCTAGCAAATACACCTGGGTCGTGGCTGTCTCCTAGTAATTTTGTGGCCTGACATTCATGTTCATATCTTATATGTCATATAACTACAATTTGTTGGTCGTGTTCAATAAATTAATATAGGTACTTCTTTCTGTATTACCTGGCAGATGCTAAAAAGGAGGAGCTCAGTTTTGGATGATGATATTGGATCCTTTGGTCCAACTCGTAGGACTCGACAAAAGTCTAATTTGATGTCTCCATTGAAAAGCTCATACTCATCAGTGGGACATTTTCTGCCTTCTTCCTCAACTCATGTTGATCGAGGTTCTATAATTCCTAGGCAAAAGCTTTACCACCTGAATGAGCAGAAGAACAATCATTCAGAGTCACAAGCTTCAGAAAATGGTGGGATGCCTATTGTTCCTGTTCCACTGCAGTCCAGTGAGATGGCTAGGAAAATATTACAGCAGCTTGATAAACTGGCCCCATCTCCAAAAGAGAAATCATCTAAACTGAAAATTGATACCAATGACTCGCCACATATGTTAACTCAGAACATGCTGGGTGGGCAGGCTCTCAAAAGCATGGAGGAAATTGATACATCTAAATTTTTGAATGTGCAAGTGAATGGCAGTTTGGAAGCTGCTAGTGATTCACACCAAGAAGGATATGCCATCTCTCATAAGAAAGACGAGACTGAAGAAAATGCCTACACAAAGCATGCTGTTAAAGGGGTTCAAGTTATATCTACAGCCTCTATTCTCAAGAAACCTAATTTAGTTGGCACAGAGGCCAAGCCTACTGTGACAACGGCTAATGTTGCTGTTGTTCCAGGTGCCGCTACTATTTTCACACGAAAGAAACCTTCCTTTCAGATGAGTGCTCCTGAGGTACATAACCATTACTGTATTCTGAATAAATTTCATGTGATTATTTCTGAATGTATTTGGGTAATCCATATCAGAGGATAACAATATGTTTTGTGCCTTATCTCTTTGTGTTTAAGGATCTCGACATGTTGGATGATGACAGTTATAATATAAAGAATTCTTCTAGTCCAGCTATTATTGTTGATAATAAATCAGAGTCGATCTCGGAGGTCGAGACCACACATGTTGCAAAAACTAATTTGGAGAAATCTGTAGAATCTTCCTCTATTGGTATGCATGTGTCTACAGCGATATTGGACAGAGATCCCCATAAGATCAACAATTGTTCAGGTGCTGATAAAATGGATGGATTCCCTTTTCCTGCTGTACCTGCTTCCAATTCTTTCAAATTACCATCAGTTTGTCCTATGTTAGTCACATCACTTGAGAAATCAGCTACACAGACTGAGGAAGTTTCTGCTTCTACAAGTAAAATTGTCTTGAATACTCATTCATTTGGATCTCCTTCAACTTATGCTGATTCTAGTGTCTCGAAATTTGCTGTGAGGTTAGTCTTCATTTTTATCATTCAGAGTTTGTCTTCTTAAGCAACGTTCATTTTTTGTTACATCAATATCTGAAAGTTCATATAACACAGCAAGCAAATATTTCCAATGTTAAGCACATTGGGTAATGATCATAACTTTTGAACTCATTGAGTAATGATCATAACTTTTGAACTTGTTTTCTTCCTAAATCCTTTTGGTCACATTTGAAAGCATTGAAGAAACAAGGTTACTAATATAATTGATGGGCCACAAAGCTTTGTTCGATTGGTATGGCAACATAATGCCCTTAAAATAGATAGAGGGTACATGAGACAACTAACCATTTTAAGTCTGGGAATAGGTCATTCTAGCCAGTTGAATTGTTCCCAGTTGAAGGTTTTAGAAGGATTTTACAAGAAAAGGATCAAATTACCCATGATCCTCTTAGTTTCATGGGGAAGATGGAATAAAATGGTCAGTTAAATGGATTTTCTTGGGAAATCATAACAAAATTTGCTTTTACGTAACTGAACAGTGAGGTTGGGAATTCTCCATGCTATGTTTCTAGTTTTCAATTATTAGACTATGCTGACCATATCGTGCTTATCTGACTTCATAATGATGAAACACTAGCTACTTCTGGAGAAGTATTTTATTGCCTAGATTTATTCTGTATTATTGACATTATCGTATATTGCTCGAAAGGATTCTTTGTTTTGCCTCCTTATATGGTTGAGTTGGTGGTGTTATTACTATTATACTGTTTTAGTGGTCATTCTTGTCTTGAATCTTCTTATATATCTCTGACAAAATTTGTCATCTGCAAGCACTTATTTTATTCATGCCTTTGTTTTTTGTTTGCAAGGAAGAAAAAAGTTACTGTTGTGTTCTTGCTGTACATGATGTTGGCTGAGTATATTTACAGTTATTAAGTTCCTATTTTTAATTATTGGAAAATTAATAATAGAAAATTATTACAAAACTAAAACATATCTGAGGATGTAGTATTGTTTAACCATGCTATCGATTTCCTTCTACATTTATGTTTTTTCTATTTGTAACTATTATGTAGAGTCTGTAGCTTCTAACTCAAGACTATATGGTTGGTGTTTAGTAATGCTACCACAACAGATGTATTAGAAGGCTCAAATTCAGGCGAAGTTGGTAAAACCATGAAAGGTGGAGACTCGTTCAATGCATGTGGAAGTGCTGCATCCTCAGGCTTGTCAACTTTAACTAGCTCAGGCATAAACGTTTTTGGAGTTTCAACAACTTCTAAACTAAATGATGAAGCTGCTTCTTTGACCTCAACCACATCTTTGGTTCCTGATGCTTCAGTCATGGCATCGGATTCTTCGTGTCCATCAGGTTTCTCTACCAGCATCAGCACGATGCCTAGTCCTTCAATTGCTGTCTCACATGCTGCACCTGCTTTGTCGACGATCTCCTCATTCCAGTTCAATACTTGTGGTTCTCTTGGTGCTTCTAGTCCAGTTATTTCGTCAACAGAAAAATGTGGGCCAGCCAACTTGATTGAGTCTGATAAGTCGTCCACTTTCAGCATAAGCAGCTCCGCCACTCTGGGTACATCTGCTGCAACATCAGTATCTGTGAGCATGATCAATAGCTCATCTGCTCTGCCCGTATCACCGTTGTTTAGTACAGCCAGTGATTTTTTGGCTGGGGCGACGTCTTCGTCTTTCTCAACTTCATCGTCTGGACTCTTCAGTTTTGGTGCATCATCACAGTCTAGTGGTGCCAACTCATTGATTTTTAGTAACAATCCTCAAAACTTGACAAAATCTGGTGACACAGCTGGATCTACTTTTAGCACTCAGCTAGCAGTGTCTGGAACAGGGATGTCAAATCCGTTGCCAAGCTCATCTGGTACATTTGGTTCATCAACTCCGGTGCCAATATTTGGTTCAAGTGGCACTTCCTCATCAGGTTCTGCAAGCTCATCGTTTGGTTTCTCAACTGCTACCAAACCTCTTTGTTCAAGTTCTAGCTTCTCTTTTTCCTCTGTTACTGGATCATCTTCCAACTCCGGCAGCATTAGTACATTTGTGCCAGCAACAAATTTTGGTTCGAGTTCCAGCTTTCCTTTTTCCGGTGCTACTGTTTCCTCTCTAGGTGCTGGCAACAGCAACTCCCTTGTATCAACTCCACCTTTTGGTTCAAGCAGCTTTTCCTTTTCAACAGGCGGTACTTTGTCGACCAAGTTTGGTGACAACAATTCCACTGTAGGAGGTACAGGCATTGCCTTGTTCAGTTCCAGTTCCCAATCATCCCAGTCATCAGTGTCTGGCTCCACTTTTGGCTCGACAACTTCTGCCCCAGCTACAGGGTTTCCATTTGCATCAGCTCCTTCAGGAAGTTCACCTTTCACGTTTGGTGCGTCAGTGCCAGCATTTTCATTCACTTCAATTGGAAACACAAATTCATCAACTTCTTCTGCACAGCCTGTGTTTGGAGTGCCAAATCAGATAGCTAGTTTGAATTCACCTGGAAATGATCAGATGAATGTTGAGGATAGCATGGCTGATGATCCTGCCCAGTCCTCTATTCCTCCAGCAGCGACATTTGGACAGCCCAATTTACTTGCATCCTCGAACTTCATGTTCGGTGCCCCAGCTGCTCCTGGTGGGCTATCAACCTTTCAATTTGGCAGCCAGCAGAATAGTTTCATTCCTCAGAGCCAGTCTCCATTCCAACAGTCTGGAAATGCAGATTTTGCAGGAGGAAGCTTTTCTTTGGGAAGTAGCGGGGGTGAGAAATCTGGTCGAAGAATTGTGAGAGTAAGACGAGATAAGCACAGGAAAAAGTAAGAAGAGCTAAAAAAATGATATAATTAAGATGCATTTGCGGCTCTTGCTTGTTAGATTTTGCTTATTATTTGATAGCAAAGAATTCTTAAGGAAAGAAGTGCTATATGTCTCCGTCAAAGTGCATGATCTCTGGAATGTGGGCGAATTGTCCTTGGCATTGAAATTTCAGAACACTTGAGACTTCACCCTTTTCTTTAGCATATTATGGTTTTCCAGCTTTCTTCAGCCTATATTGTTGCAGTTTTGGTTTAGTGGTAGACAGCATGCAGGACTGTTGCACTTTGGACTGTTGTCAAGGATAAGCTTCTGCTGTTGGTATGCTTGTATTAATAATTGTATTGTTGAAGTCCCAACATAATTTTTGATGTAATCTGTATCACATCCTGGCAATTTTGGCTTGTGAGAATTGAAGATTTGTAGTCTTATTTTACATTCTATGATTACTATTGAACGAATGTTATGTTTTTGCCAAAAGATTCACATGGTCTACTGCCTCTGGCATCATCACCCGTCAAACACCAACAAAAGCAAATAAAGTTGTATTTTTTATTTACAAGGGCTTGACAAATTAATTCATTTTGAATTTCTAGGTTCAATCTTTATTCTTGTGCATATTCTGTTGAAGGCTTATTTTAAAATTTCACAAAGCATAGCTAAGTTGAAGGATAACCTGTTGTGTTCTTATCATCATCGTAGTTGATTTTTTTTGTTTGGATAGATAGCTTTCAGAAAGATCATCATTTTTGGTGCTAATTCATGCATACATGTCTTTTAGTTGTATTTTATGTTTTTTCTTCAAGTCTCATATGTAAAGAATTTTAACTGTATGGTCACTGTCATGTACAGATACAATTCATGCTATGGTTTTACGATTAGGATTCCTGGTATTTTTAATTTGCATTTGGTTATGGTGGATGAGAATATGTGTCTTCTACAGTAAAGTATTAGGGTATGGATGGCACAAACTAACTTGGATTGAATCGATTATATGAAGCTAGTCTTGCAAGCCTTAGTGAATGAACCATGACATCTGGATAGTCCTTTACAACCATGAATTTTGTTGGAGACATCCAAGATATGTTAATCAGATGTCAAGTGACAATTGAAACAATGTACTGAGAAGTCAACATTCTGTTTCATGTGGCTTCATTACAGGCACCTGTTTTGGAGATAGAAGTTCAAAATATATTTTGTTGTTCCTCTCTTTTCTGTCTGATTGCCAAATATGACTCATGCTGTTTCGCATGTCGATATCTATCAACACTTCAATGATCAAGTTTGTCAGATGCTGGATATGTCACAGGTTTAATTATTCCGAGTTTGTGTGAAACTGATTGACATTATAGCTGGTAGTATGTATTTGCGCCTGTAAAAGGCTGAATTTCCTTATTTTTGTAACATATAGCTGAAACTGTGAATCTGAGCATGATCTGTGCAAAGCTTCTTGTTACATGGACAAGAAGATTGATTTCTGTTACTCTAATTGCTCCTGCATCAAGGTACATGAAGTATAGTGAGATGGGAGCATCTTGATCTCTTCCTTGCACAAGGCCTGTGTGATCAATTACCTGTTGTTGTGGCTAAAATTACTTGAACATCTTGTCATCTTGCCTGCCTGCTGGAGTTGGCTGTTGCAATCATAAGTTGGAAGACCATGTTCAGGTTTGATGGTTCTGATTTTGTGTGATTGGCTATTGAAATTTGGAGGTGGTGGCATTTAGTTGACTGTATAATCAAGATTCCAGGTTCTTTTCCATCCAAATTGTAATTGTTTCATTTACCTGAAGGATGAATCTTATGAGACCCTGGTGATATCTGAATCAAGATCTGTGATGCCCTGAGCAATAATTTCCTCTCTCTCAAAGGGATTGTATTGCTAACTATAATTAATACTTGTTCAATGTCATGCTGATGTGATGGAAAAATGTTGTATGGTAGTAAGAAAAGAAGGGTTGTTTCTGCTGATATTGCAAGTAAAGGTGGTTGTTTCTGCCCATGGTGATGCTGGCTGGAAGATGAAGTTGTAATATGAGACAAGATGGTGTGTAGCTTAATACAGAAGCATGAGCTTGAGGGAGATGGAAGTCAAGGTTTTATTTGCCTGGCCATTTGTTTTCATGAAGCTTTTAGTCTTTTAGTGCCTCCCATATTGCATGTGACTGGTGAAATAGCTACAAATTGTTGTTTCTTTTGTGTTCTTCATGATCAATTTTCTGGTTGTCGTTCCTGAGGAAGCTCACAGGTTTTTGTTTAGGATGAGGATTTGAATCATCACTCGAGTAAATCATACTAATTACTTGAGTTTTATTATTTTTGTTTTGTTGGTATTATTCATGTGATTCAAGAACACAATATCGACTTTTCTATATCGATTGATGATTGGGGTTTTATATGGTTGATTAATCTCAAGTCAAATAGAAAAATAAATATTTTCTATTTACTAAGACGAAGTATTTAGATTAATCATACGGCGCCTTTAAATTAGGGCTCTTTGGCGGCAGAGATCGGTCAGCCTCCTCCTGTGCTGCTTTACGCGCAGCTTCTCCTCTCGGTTCTGCTCCTTGATGGCTCCACCATTAGAGCCCACGGGAGACGAGCGGCAGCAGCTGCAGGCGGAGGAAGGAGTAGTGGCTGGAGAAGAAGAGAACAAAGAGGCGGAGTGGTGCTACCAGTGGCCGGTCTTCAGATTCGACCGAGCCCCGCGCAGGCTCTACCACTTCCGCCAGCAGTTCCGGGCGGGAGAAAGCCCTAGCGGCAACTTCTTGAAAGGGGTGAAGTGGTCGCCCGACGGCTCCTGCTTCCTCACCAGCTCCGACGACAACACCCTCCGCCTTTTTTACTTGTGGGTGCCCTCACACTCTCCTGATCGGGTTCCATTTGTTCGGATTTCCGTGTTGTCATTGTTGCCTTTTTCTTGTTCCCTCTCCAATCAGACCGGAGGATGCGTTCACCGATCGTGCGGAGTGTACTGGTGCTGAGATTGATGGACCGGGTATGGATGCACCCTCAGGACGTGATCGATGAATTTACCTTTGTATTCTTCTCTTGAATTGATGTTGCTTGGTACTTCTTGGAGCAGATTCATACGTTTCTAGTCTCGTTGTGGGCGAGGCTGAGACCGTCTATGACTACTGTTGGTTCCCTTACATGTCTGCATCAGGTGTTTGTCTCGCTTACTAGCGGAATATTCAAGTGCAGTTGTTGTTTCTAAAGATTTTTGTGACGTGAAGAGATTCAAGGAGATCATAATTGAAGTTTCATTTGCAGATCCTGCAACCTGTGTATTTGCAAGTACAACACGCGACCATCCGATCCATCTGTGGGATGCCAATTCTGGTCAGGTGCTTACCAGCTATGAGGATAGGGATTTGCTCTTCTGATCCATTTATGCAAAAATAACATGTATATTGCTCTACTTTGGTTGTTTTCTGTTGATAATGCCAGCTACGTTGCACCTATAGAGCGTACGATGCCATGGATGAGATAACAGCTGCCCTTTCTGTTTCTTTCAACACATCCGGATCCAAGTATAAAAAACACATCAAGTGCCCTTTTTTCCTTTGTCTATGTGTCACCATGTTATAATCAACTTTAATTCACATTCTGAGATGTTATTTGGTTAGCATGCACTGCCAACGTGTTTTTGCCTACATGTTTGGAGAACAATTATATTATATTCATATATATGGACTAACTTGTTATGCTAATGCTCTCACTTGTCAAGAATTTAGATGATAAAGAATTGCCTTGGAAACTGCAGTTACTCCATCCATATTGTGTAAGATATGTTGCTTTAGGTACACAAGTAGGGATATTTTCATGAACTTAAAAGAGTACTTATGTTAGGGCTACATGACTACCCATTATCATTGTGGACATTCAAAGAAGATACTGGATTAATTGGCTTATCTGATGAAACACTAATATAAGGAAAAGACAGGGTTATTGAAGAATCATGGAAGAATTTATGGAAAGCATGTGGGCCAATCCATTGCGGTGTGAGGAGAGGTAGAGACAAACCCAAAAAAAAAACTTTACTACAATCAAGGGAAATTGATTTTACTGCTCTTTGTTTGGATAAGATATTGCCCGAAACTAGCTTAATGAGTGGAAAAGATTGATGTAGCTGATCCAATGGCAAACCAAAAAAATTTCTTCATTAGACGCAATGGAAAGAGATTTTATGCTCTTAGTTTGACTAGTAATATTGCTCTAAACTAGCTCAATGGAGGTAAAAGATTGGCATATCTGACCCAAATAATTGGACATTACGGTTTCTTCTTGTAGTTCTTGTTGAACACCCAAGACTAGTTTAAGCTATATACAGTCTTTGTATTGATTTCAAATGCAGCAAACATTGTGGTTGGCTTCACTTGTGCAATTTTTTCAATGATATAAACTTTTAAAAAATTAACTAGAATTATTGGTTTTCATCTCTGAACAGTATGTTAATCATATGATCATGAAGCACTGCAATCTGCATCCTGGTTTTAGTCCATATGAGAATAATTTCATTCACCCTCTTACATACAGATTTCTTTGTTTTGTAGGCTTTTCGCTGGATATAATAAATTTTTAAGAGTTTTTGATGTACATCGCCCTGGACGTGAGTTCCAGCAGCATTCTCTGCTTAAAGGAAATGATGGTCCTTCAGGTAGTTATTCTTGTATTTTAATGTTTTCTAGATCAGAAGTAGTGTCTTCAGATTTTAGTTTTGGTGGAGATTAGCATGCATACTGTAATCGTTTCAAGTTATCTTGTTTTGCTATATGGTATTATATGCATATATTTATAGACATTCGATACTTGTGTTAACTGGTTAATAATCTTTCTGCATTATACATAAGTTTTTTGGGTCTATTTGTCTTAATTCTCGAGGTGTTAAACTTTTTGCCTTGTAAATTTTTCTCAAATTGGCATTGATTAAATTTTTTGTTATTCTAGGTATTGTATCTTCTATAGCCTTTTCTCCTACTCACATTGGGATGGTTGCTATTGGCTCTTATAGCCAGACGACTGCAATTTACTCGGAGGATAATATGGAGCTGTTGTATGTTTTACATGGCCAATTAGGGGGTGTTACACAGGTTAGTGGGACTATCTCCTTATATTAAACCTTTGTGACAACCGTTAATGGCAGTTTATATTTTCAGGTATTGTTCTCAAAAGATGGAAATTATCTTTATACAGGAGGGCGGAAGGTATGTTGAGGCTGACAATTTCCAGTTACCAACTATTATTGTACTGGTGAAATATGTCCAGCCGCATCCAACTCATTTGTTATATTTAATAAAAAAGCAGTGATCCTATTTTGATGGATCCTAATCCCATTCGTCAGGTTTTCCCATGTCTATTGGACTAAAGTATGTGCTTCAGAGCATCTTAGCTTGTTTATTGGTTCCACTTACACCTATCAATCATCTTTCAATGCTTCTCTATGTACCATGTTTTTACAGTGTTAAGCAATTTACCAGTTCAGTTGATTCTTTACAGAAAGGTTCCAATTTTCTATTGTACTTCATGCGACACATTATTAAAATGGGAAAAGATTGACCAGTCCATTTCATGGATGATGATTGTCTAATAGGATGTGAGATTAATCAAGTGTCACAGATAACCTGAAGCTGCTTGGTCAGTTATTCATGTCTGGGATTCTAGCTTGTACAATGCATGCATACTGAACTTGATTGATTGGCTATTTACTTGAGTGTAGTTACAATTCCTTCTCTTGATAAAACAGTTATAATCTTTCTTAATGTTTGTATAACATTTTATGGATCTTAGTTGCTATAGGGAACATGTTATGTTGATACTTTTGAAGCAAGCTCTTGCTCCTTTTTTTGTCATAATGTGTAAGCATGTTGTTTGAATGATAACAAGTCCTACTGTAGTGCACAGATAATTTGCATCACAAAACCATTTTTTTTCCTATATAGTTGACAATTTGGTCCCAATTTTTCTTAAGATGTTGTCATCCTTTGGTCACGATGTACAATCTATGAGATGACCACCATGTTGAAACTGAACTATTGGTCATTAGAATCCCCTATATCATCACCATTTAAGCATAACAAATTGGATTCTGACCGAAAAAATGAAAGTTACAAATAATAACTAGAATCTTGGAGCTGTGCATAAAGCTAAATTTGGTTCTTCCAAGTGCTACAAAACAATATTTTAGTTCTCTGTAGATCTTTCTCTTTTCTGCCTTCATGACTATCATTTCTATGAATCTTAATATGATACATTGCACCTGTTCACTTGCATGGAATTTGTTGTGGTTTGTGCAATATGTTACCTGAAATGCTAATATTGGATTATTCTTGCTGATAATATGGTCCACATATTTTATTCTGGTAATATTTTGGTGTGAAATGATGTTATTGACATTCCTGTTGCTTTCAGGATCCTTATATATTGTGCTGGGATATACGCAATACCATTGGGATAGTTTACCAGTAAGTTCTTCAATTTTTGTGTTACAATTTCCGTACAAAGAGATTTTACATGTTTGTTGTTAAGATACACTAGGTTCCATGTTTTTCATAAAATTGTGTTAGCTCATTGGATATCAAGAATATGGTAGATGTAGTGGAACCCTAAAACCATCTTCTGGAAATAAATCATTTGAAACATTTCTTTCTTTTGTTCTTTTTGCTCTATTCCTTCCACTCTTCTCATATGAGGAATGCATGCAATTTTCCTTGAATTCAGTGTTATTGTTCTGATATCATAAAGACTATCATGAAGTTCTCACTGGTTCCTCGATCAGACTATACAGATCATCAGAACATACAAATCAGAGAATATCATTTGATATTGAGCCTTGTGGCAGGCACCTTGGTACTGGGGGAGAGGTAGTCTTGCAAGTTTGCTAATAATTTGTTTTATCTCACAAAACCAAATAAACTTAGTTGATTGTACTGTCATGACAGGATGGTCTAGTTCATATTTATGATCTTCAAACTGGGGACTGGGCCGCAAGTTTTCAAGCTGCATCTGGTACACATTTTGTTCATATCTTTTGATTCAGTACTGACTTTTTCTCCATTTGATATCTTGTATATCCTTAACCTTTATTTGCCATTTGATGTTCTTTTCTTTCTAGATACTGTAAATGGTTTCTCATTTCATCCTTCTTTGCCATTGGCTGCATCATCATCTGGGAACCGAAGATTTGATTTGCTAGACAATGTTGAGGAGAAATTAAGCTTGAGTGGTATAAGATATACTGCTTAACTCAGAAGTCTTTCATATTACATATGCAATTACTTGTGTCTCACCATGGTAGTTTGATCTATAATGTTGAATGCCACTGCCCACCTGTCCTATTTTTGTTAAAATAAAAGTATATCGAAACAGACATTTTATATGTTTTCAGCTGCTTTCTTTGATAAGATAATTTATATAAGTCTTTGGAGCACCCATTTTAAACTCATCCTTTTGCATGTGTACCCAAAAGCACTTATCTGCCCCTGAAAATGGAAGCTGCATCTGTTCCTAAAAATGTTTGATTTCAGCATTTAAGGCTGCTTTTAGCTTTTCCAATTTGTGCCTTCAAGCTATGCATGGTAGATTTGCTATTTCGGTCTTTTGCAGGGACATATACTAAATTGTTTTAATGGTAGCTTTGTCCATGTATTTATGCTAGGATGGAGGGCAAAGGTCATATAGTTTATTCTTCTTTCCAACATCATTTTTTACCTCCTTTTGCAATCTTGATGCTTATTAATCTAATGGATCGGAGATGTACTATGTGAACAGAAACATAAACCTGATTTGTCTGTTGATGATTAGTAGAAGACCATTATTAATTAAGATATATATTTTTTATACAGCTTTATTTCAATGCAGACGAGTTTTATGAAATATTTAATATAATCTTCCAAACTTGTGATTTCACTTATAAAATAACTGTTATGTCAATTTATTACTTAAAAATAACATTAAGATTCAGTCAATATCATCTTACCCAATTTGAGCCAGTAACTAGCATAGCATGATTTCCATCATGAATATACATTTTTAAATACACGAGATGAAACATATGGGTCCATTAGTTGATGAAGATTCACTGATCTAGCTAGACTGTAAGAACTTGTAAAACATATCAAAAGCTAATTACTATGCCTTGAACTTTTAACCAAAAATCTTGACATTCAGATACAACTGTTTACTAAAACTAAAAATACTAGAGAAATATTATTGGTGCTCCTCTGGTAAATCTGATAGAGCATAACAATATGCACATTTCTTGTGCGCCAAACTAATGATAGTTTCCTTTCTTTTGGTAAGAATTTAGTATGCTTTTGCCAGCCAACTTTGTCAGTTGATCAACTTAAACCCCATTTGTTGTCTATGTAGGTGACCAGAACTGTGCCTCAGTGTGGTCCTTCTCTGGTTCCTTGGAGTTGGGGCATGATGCAGCTATCACAGATGAAGCATTGGATTCTGGAGATGTATCCCAAGGTCTGGGACTAGTTTAAGAAGAAAACTTGAGCTGCTCCGGTCGAATTGCTATTGGTTGTGCAGATTACACATGAACCTGCTGAAAGACTCTTGCATTCCCATGTTTCCTGTTTGTTGCCCTTGTTCAACAGCATTAGTGTCTTCATCAACTCTTGGCTGACCATTTTTGTTGCTTGTGCCAGAGAATGGAAGGGGAAAACATCCAGTTGGTAGCTTGGATTGAGCCACTGGTTGTTCCATGGTAATGTTACCTTTTTCTGTCTTTGGGATGCCAAGTATCAAATGTCTAAACATGAAATCCTTACTTCTACGTAATGGAGGTCTGAAAAAGAAGTGGTCAATCTGTGTCTTTTGATGTCCATTTAGTTGATCTTGTAAATTCTCTATTAGATTAAAAACATGTTGGTCTAAAGAGATTGCAAAAAATTAGGAGTTGGTTGTGTTGATGTCTTCCTCCTTCCATCGAAATTTGGGGTAAACCTGTGATATGAACAAAAGCTCGAACGTTTTCAATTGTAGTGTGTTATTTCAATGATATGGAAAGTGATGTCTTTGATGGTATAACCCCCCTCTTTCCCAAGTCCGCTGGGGGAATGGTTCCTTGTGCTAAATTACAATTCTTATCATTATGATGGATAATTGGCAATATGTGGGTTTTATAGATTTTCAACCGAGATTTTCGATCTTTTTGGATAGTTGGATGGTTGGATTTCTTTTATGTGAGTTGCATGATTTTGTGTTACAATATGGGACGACTATTTGTGTTGTTCCTCTTGAGATTAATGCATTGATGATAGGTGCCTTACCGCGTTGGGTTGACTTTTACCTTTTCTACTTAGACCTTCAAGAAATTATTTATGATTTTAAATTAAGCAATGTTTATCTTCTGGATTGAACAGATTACGTTGGAGTTCTGCTGTGTAAGCTTCCAGTTTTCACAATCTGAGGTATAACAAAATTCCTGGGTAGACTGGTTTTGTGAAAAAAAATTTCCCCTTGTTTTCTCTGTATTTTAACCCTCAATATTGCTCCATGTCTTCTCAGATATGATCAGATTATTGTTGAGGAAGACTTTGGTCACATGAAGCTTGCTTCACATTGATAGACTTTTGAGGTTCAGAAAGTTCCCAAGTCCACTTGAAGGCTTCTTCACGATGATGAACAATTAAGTTTGCATTACTGTGAATCATTACCAATAACAAATTGATTTAGAACCAGATCAGTTTCCGCACAAGGCATTGCAAGAGTCAATGCCGAGGATGTCTCAGGTATGTGAGTGCTTCAACCGACGATAGTCAGGTGATGTGTACATTATTATGATTCCAGAAACCCCGGCCGGGCATGACTACATTAAATTGGAACAAAAGAGTTAAAAAGACCAAGTTGACATACCTACAGGCTCGAGGAAGAAGATGATGCTTTGCAGCTTTGATAGAAGAGATATTTATGACTGCTTCCAGTGCCACATTACAGAGGAGAAAAGGACGCTTGCGGTGGCTGTCACTGGTCTTATCCAAAGTCGTGTTCTGTTCCACAGAAACGATCATTTGTTCTCATCACACATGTCAGTATCTGCATCACTGTCTGTCTCGGTCCTTCGTGGGTCCCTTCATGATTGAAGAGAACTCGTTATTACTAGAGTCAACCCCCATCCATCAACTGCATCGAGCAGTCCCTGAGCCACATTTCCTCGTCTTCATGGATGTGTTACTGGATCCAGATTACCTCAGATTCATATAGCATTTTGTCCGCCAAGCCACTCGTCGGAGAGCATGAGGCAGTGGGGAATGTCCCCATCATGGCAATTTCGGCTTTGTAATTAATTACATGACAACAATTACTTCAAGATGGAAGTCCATATCCCAGCAGTCAATTCTTTCACACGGTGGCAGAAATCCAGAGGATGGTATTATGAGGCGCCAAAACTGTGCTCTTCGCCATTGATGAATCGTGGAATTAACGGTGTCCGAGTCAACTGTTCGTTTCTTCTACGTCAGAGGTGGCATTGAGAGCCTGGAGAAAAGAAGCAAGTGGTTAGAGAATAGAAAGCAGAGGTTCCCATCACGTCCCCCACGCGCACACGCAAAGAGAAAATGCCAATTCCAGACATCACCATACTCGCCAGGCCGCAGTGACCGAGGCCCTCGAAGACTAAAGACCAATTCGTAGATCCCATTACGAGTCTGTCCCTGGAAACTCTGCAAAGCTTACTGATCATTTGATGCAGAGTCTTCCCTTCTCCTGCGGCGAAGACCTCGCAATTGCCATGACCAGGAGCTTTTGCTGGCTCGATAAAGATTGAGAGAGTTTGGTACCGAGCATGCGGTGTATGAGGATCGGAGCGTAGCTGAAACGAGGAGGCGAAAGAGATGATGGTACGACTCCTCCGCTTCTTCTTCTTCTTTTTCTTCTTTCTCGCGGATATCGTGGTTGTCGTCCTCCCGGCGGTCTCCGCACCAGCCACCTCGCACTGTGAGGGCACCTGCGGCTCCCACACGGTCCCGTACCCCTTCGGCTTCTCTCGTGGATGCCAGATCCCTCTCAATTGTTCCAGTGCTCTGAATTCCTCGATCCAAATTGGAGAATTCACGGTGCGGAACATCACAAGCGACAGCCTCTTGATCGACGTGCCTCCGGTGTGCGAACGCTCCATCTACTCCGCGAGGAGCTTGTCCGGTCTCAACTACGCTTTGACCAGTAGGAGCCGCCTGTTCCTCGGCAACTGCACGGCCAACAAGAGCAAGAGCGTCTCAGGCGGCTGCACCATCAACGCCACCCTGTTCGACGGGAGATGCGGCCCGGGATTCGACAACGCCACCTGCTTCTACAATCAGACCAGGGAATACTATTTCGGCCTCTCCAGCATCGTCGACTCCGGCTGCAGTTTCCTTGTCACGTCCGTCGGCTATGTCAGTGGCGCGTCGGTGCAGTTGCTGGAGCTCTGGACGGCGGAGCTGGCATGGTGGCTGGAAGGACAGTGCCAGTGCTCGGCTAACGCGAATTGCACGAGAATTACATCTCCGATGACCGATCGGCCCGGCTTCCGGTGCAGCTGCCATGAGGGATTCCAAGGGGACGGTTTCGCCCACGGCTCCGGTTGTCGCAAAGGTTAGTCCTTGTTCTTCACAGCGTGCTCAGTTGACCTCTCCGGCTTGGTTTTCCCTCTGCTCTACAAATTATAAGCTTACATGAAAATTTTCAATGAACATATTAAAGATTGAGATAATCTTTAATCTAGAATTAAGCGCTGCAGAAATTAACTTTCATTGATGGAGGTGATGAGCTATAGAATTTAGATATGTTTTCTATATGACATCTATATGTTGACATGAAAACCATGGTTAGAGCTTTTCAAGCTTGATGATAAATCTTCCAATACCTCTCACTGACTCTTCCACATTGACTTTGACATCAACCACTATCTTTATGACATCCAACTGGAATGCTCTGCTCTGCTCTGCTCTTACCTACTGGACCTGCCTTGCAATTACCTGCCCCGTGAGGTTTGGTTAGACTTCCCCCTCTTCGCTCTTATCGTCTTCTGTCAGCTCAACGACTACTGCCCAACTGTGTCATTATTATTATATGCATACTTAATCCTGATTCGCAGTTTGGCCCGAGAACTGTTTGCTTAAAAGGAAATGTCTCTGTATATGGTTGAAGGAGGTGTGGTCAACTCCCTCAAGAAAAGGGATGGTTAGTGCATGCATTGATTTTGCATTTGATAGGTTTGGTACTTGTTCTTTTCACCATTGGTTTCAAGCCTACGTTTTTACTTGGTTGGACATTAGAAAGTTACTGAACATTATAGTGCAGAAAGAAGAATGAACAAGAGTTTGTTTTCTTTGAACTGATACTATGGTTCTTTTTCCAGTTTCGGCTTCCAAATGCAATCCTACAAGGTACATGTCTGGAGCATGTGGTGGATCTAGAAGCAAACTTGCTTTTCTTGTTGGAGGTATTTCTTCTTTACCTCACAATCTGTTCAGTGTTTCTGTTCTTCTCTGCCATCAAAAAGAGTTAGTGATGCCAATTGTTGTAGTAGAAGTTGCATCTGTTTTGAGTTTGGTTTCTTTTGCCAATTATCTTATTTGGTGAATCCTTTGAAATCACATGGAAGCAGGAAGGAAAACTCCATGAAACCTAAATATTCCGAAAGAAAGACAATGAGACTAGTCAGGAATAGCATGCCATTCTTTTACTTCTTTCCATATTTTATACACACTTGTCAATGCAGTCACATCTAACTCATGCGTTGTAATTGCGATAACCAGATGCTAGTCAAAGGATCAAATTAGAAGAAAGGATGTCATTATCATAAGCTCCTTGGTCTAGGTATCAATGTGGATGCATTAAAATTCTTGTGACCTTCCCCCAAGGACAATAACTATTGGAGTCAGACTACCAAAAGCTTTTCGGTCGGTGGATAGTAAATGAGAGAAATATAGGAAATGTCAAACCAGGTTTTAATTTATTGATCCATGAAAGTTGTTGAATCATTTATTATTATGACCAGCTGTGATTGTTGCAATCCACCTGCATACTGATCAGAGCTTTTAAGGTTGCTGCACAGCATACATTTAATTTAAGGGGGGGTGATGTTTTGTTTTCATGACTCTGCTGCTTCTGATACTAATAGATTGTCTCCTTGTGAGAAAGAACTGAGCAGTCTCAACTGTTAGATTGATCTTTGGAGTGATGATGACTGCACAGCGTAGTTGCAGATGGGTCGCTGAGAAACCCTCTCTCTTTTGCAGGCATCATCGCTGGTGCTTCTGCAATGGCTGCGTTGGCCTTCGTTTGCTGCTTCATCAAACGCTATTCCTCGCGGATGAGGAAACGGAGCAGCATGAGACGCCTGCTGTCCGAAGCCTCGTGCACGGTTCCCCTCTACTCGTACAAAGACATCGAGAAGGCCACCGATGGGTTCTCGGAGAACCACATACTCGGCACGGGCTCTTACGGCACCGTTTACGCCGGCAAGTTCAGCAACGACAAGCAAGTCGCCGTGAAGAAGATCAAGAACCGAGACGACGACAGCATCGACCAGGTGATGAACGAGATCAGGCTCGTCTCCTCCGTGAGCCACCCCAACCTTGTCCGTCTCCTGGGGTGCTGCGTGGAGCGGGGAGAGCAAATCCTGGTTTACGAGTACATGCCCCACGGCACGTTGGCTCAGCACCTGCAAGGGGAACGGGGGCCGGCGCTGCCTTGGACCGTTCGCCTCACCATCGCCACCGAGACCGCTAAGGCCATCGCCTACCTCCACTCGGCCGTTCACCCCCCCATCTACCACCGCGATATCAAGTCCAGCAACATCCTGCTCGACGACAACTACAACTCCAAGGTCGCAGACTTCGGTCTCTCCCGGATGGGCATGACCGAGACGTCGCACATATCGACGGCGCCGCAGGGGACTCCGGGTTACCTGGACCCTCAGTACCACCAGAACTTCCACCTCTCCGACAAGAGCGACGTGTATAGCTTCGGCGTGGTGCTATTGGAGATCATCACCGCACTCAAGGTCGTGGACTTCAGCCGGGTGCAGAGCGAGGTGAACTTGGCTGTGCTGGCGATCGACAAGATCGGCAGAGGGTGCATCGATGAGATAATAGACCCGTACCTGGAGGCAAACAGAGATGCCTGGACACTGGCTTCCATTCACAGGGTGGCCGAACTGGCCTTCCGGTGCCTCGCCTTTCACAGGGACATGAGGCCCTCCATGACGGAAGTGGCAGACGAGCTGGAACAGATCAAGTTTACCGGGTGGGCGCCGGCGGACGACGGTACCTTGTCGACGGCGTCATCATTCTGCTCGTCCACTTCGAGCTGTGCGGGGAAGTTGCGCACGGCATCGAAGAGTAGGAGGTTGGCCTTGGTTAGCAGCATGATACAGGAAGTGAATGCAGAATCTCCCGTTTCTGTGCAGGATCCATGGCTCAGTGAGCAGAGCTCTCCCTCCGCGAACAGCTTGTTGGGCAACGTAATCCATTGATCTGACCTACTGTTCCTTCTTCCTGTATTTGCTTTCAGGCTGACTATAATAGAATCATATACAAAGAGTTCTGCAGACAATTTCTGCCCCTCGAGTCCGTTTCTCTCTTGGACTAATCACAAATTTGTTCTTAGGATTGAACTGATCGAAATGGCAAATGCTTCGACCCTACTGGGCCAATCCATCACATGCATCTCACCTTCCATGTATGACTTCATAGCTCTGTTCCATCTCTGGACTACTCACCTGCTTTATCGTCCCCACTTTCATGTGATCTGGATGGCGTTACTTCTCCTAACACAGTCCACAATAATTAAGCACGAAAACATGCAGTCCTTCCTCAGAGTGGTGTGTAGGTGGATGTCGGTTTACAGGAAAATCTACTTCTCTTGCAGCACAGCTAGCAGTGGATATGATAATGAATGAGTAGCTGCTCCGAGTGATGTGGTCTTGCCCGGCACACGACTCTCAAGTAATTAATGAGTCGATTACTCGAGAATATGCATGAATTTACTGCGTCTTCTATATGAGATTAAGGGATATCATTAAGTCTCGTCTTCATTTACAACTCATGGAGTGGTGGCAACTAGTAAATGATCTCGTTTTGAGACCATTTTGAACGCCGAACTGTGCTTAGTGGAGCACAGCATAAAAACAAGAAGCCTAGTTCGTGAAACACTTACGCCTTCCCCCTAGCCAACCTTTGATACAGCGACTTCTCTCGCTGTGTTGAAGTCATTCCTGCCCATTCTATTCTTAGATCCCTCTCCCTTTCTCATACAACCTGTCTTCCACACCGTCCTCGTTGTCATCTCTCATGATGAACAGTGAAATCTATGGCCGACGCATCTCTCTCCTCCTTTCCCTTTGAATCCGACAGACAATGTGTGTTCTTTCTCTCTCTTTCTCTCTCACTATATATACAATCAATTAGCTCACTGAGATTGGTATAATCCTCTATACTGACATGGGGATCTGCAAGTCGTGCGATGCGACGGGAGTGGCGGAGCCGGCGACGGCAAAGCTGGTGCTACAGGACGGGAAGCTACAGGAGTTTGAAAGGCCGGTGAAGGTGTCCCACCTGCTACAGAAGGACCCGACGTGCTTCGTGTGTGACTCCGACGGCATGGTGTTCGACGGGTTAGTGATGGCCGTGGATGCCGACGACGAGCTGCAGCCCGGGCAGCTCTACTTCCTCCTCCCTGTCTCCATGCTCCGGCGACCTCTCCACGCGGAAGAGATGGCGGCGCTCGCAGTGAAGGCTAGCGCCGCCCTCGGGGCCGCTCGTGGTGCCTGCAGCCGCCACAGTAGATCTGTGGCTCCTCTAACCTTCCACCCGGCAATGCCCGCGGCTGCCGGCGGCGGTGCAAGTGGGATGATGGGAGGAGGGAAGAGTAGAGTAAATTGTAAGAGGAGAGGTGGCAAGGGACGGGATTTTGCGTCCAAGTTGAGTGCGATCTCAGAGTAGAAGACATGTACCGCAGCGAAAGAGATTGAACATGAACATGAGACTACAAAAACCGAGCATGCACGAGTGTTAGCAGTCGTATAACATCTAGTCGATGGGGCTTATGTGACATCCGATTACAGAGTATCCGAACCTGATTCATGCGAATGGGATTCGATCAATATATATATCTAATCATGAGAATATTTCCGATAGACTTTCAGTATTCAACATGAAACATAAATCTGAATTCCCAAAAACAGTAGATCTGTTGTCATATCTAATGCTATATTGAGCTTTCTATAGGCCTATAATCAATCGGGCCCGACGCAAAGCCCGTACGGCGGAACGAGGTGGCGATGAGCTACCTCGGGTAAGCCCGGGCGGCGACGCCTTGTAAGTCCCTCGTGACACACAGCGGCTCCGACATTTCCAATCAGACTCAGCCAATTAGAACTTCTGACTCACAAGTCTCCTCGGCTCATCTAATTCCTTAGTATTATCTTTGTTTGTAGTTGAGAAAGAGAGAGAGAGAGAGAGAGAGAGGCATAGGACTTAGCAGCATTATAAAAACCAAAAAAATCTAAAATGAAACATTTACCTCTTATTTTCCTTTCCTTCTCTTCTCCTCCTCCTTTCATTCTTCTTCCTCTCTTTGTTTTTGCTCTTCTCTATTTCTTCTTCTTCCTTTTTTTTTTTTCTTTCTCTCCTCTTCCTTCCTTTCGATTCTTCTTCTTCTTCTTCCTCCCTCTCTCTTTTCCTTCTGCTTCTTTTCTTCTCCGCCTCTTCTACCCTTCTTTTTTCCCCTCGATTCTTCTTCTTCTTCTTCACTTCTTTACTGCTTCTATCTTCCTCCCCCTTTCTCCTTTCTCCCTTCCCTTCAACCCGAAGCCCTCTCGAGAGAGAGGCAGAAGAAAATTTTCTTTTTTCTCTTTTTATTTTGACTTTTTACATTTTAATT